ATGGGGGCGGGGGGCGGGGGGGTATGGGGAGGTTGAACCAGTGATTTCTGTTGGTAAAACACCCACCTAACAGTGCGTTCAATCTGATGAAAGAGCTCTCCTCTTGTTTGCTCCCCACTCTTAGTGTTGGGTCTTGTTTTGATAAAAGCCCATCACAAACTTTGTGAAATTCCCAACCATGTTTTTTAACATTGAAAAAACACTCGCACGTTTGCAAGGGGGCCAGATGGTTTTCTTTCGAACGTCGGCACCGGGATTAAAGTCTATCAGATGAAGCTATGGGTCTGCTCACCTAACTCTTACACACCGCATGTTGCAGAAAAGCAGATTCTTAACAAAGCAAGTTTTGAAGTTTTACAAGAAAAACTTGGAAATTTGGTGACCTTGATATTATAGCTTATTTGACATAAGCATCAACGATACTTACGAAAAATTGTACGTATGTTCAAATTCTTCATCTTAGTTTTGCATCTTCTCAAAAATTCACTGTAGAGAAACTACTATAAGGAAGTTAACCAGACACCCACATTTATAATAAACCTCGGGGGAACCTAAGGAATATGTTTGATTCAGTAAATTATCATGGGAAAACAAATATGACATGTATTTAACCATGAACTTCAAATAATTGTCACAGCTTAATATAATGTCCCTCATTTCATTTGCAATCTTGCTTACCGCCATCGTATTTCAAGGTCCCATTTTTTTATTTTTTTTCTGTACAATTCTCCTTTGATTTACCACCAAACCCCTTTATAATGTCCAAACCCCTTTTATAATGTCATAATTTCTCAAAAATAAATAAAAAATGGCAGTATAATAAAGTTTTATAGTAATGGGGGGGAAAAGGGAAATTTATTAAGGACACAGGTGTTTTTTTCAGAGGTTGACAATGTGGGGTGGGCTTATCGGGGAAGGTGCCTCGAGGTTATATAAGGTACAGGGTACTTGGCCCAGCATCTCGAAAAGGGGTTTGTTGGTAGATAGGGGCCTATGGCACAGGGCCCTGCCCCACCAGTGTAAGCACAGGCTATGATAAATAAGGTAAAACATCAACAGTATACATGCACAGAGCTATCAGAGGAAGCAGGCCATATTATCCATTGTACACACGAACCAGCTTTCAACACTCCACTCCTAGCCGATGCCTTCCTCACCACAGCATAGTCCTAGCACTAAGTTGCAAGGTAAATATCGGGTTGATAAGGAAACTGTGATTAGGGTCTATATATATGTAGGCAGGAAATTGCTGTTGCACAATATGGATTAGCGGTGCCGAACCACTAAGTACAGGTGATTAAACCTTCGGACTGATCACCGGCCTGTTCCTGATGCACCGTCCTCGCCAGAACGCTGTTACCTATTAACTCAATCAACTTATCATTGCCAGTCGTGTCAAGAATGTCCACAGGAAATGGACTGCTGATGGAGTTCCTTTTTCCCTACTAATTTGGCAATATGGTAGGCATTATAAGTCTTAACAAGAAGCGAACATCATCATCAGGTCATTGCCAGCTAGGGTATGGTAAAAAAAAATCAAAAAAATCTGGGATTATTTTTTCCATATTTGGTTATATTTCCATGTAAAATATTTCTCATTCAACAAAACAAAATCAGGAGAAAGAACAAAAAATTACATCAAAATAATTGAAAAGTGATACAACTATTGAAAATTAGTTGATATTTTATTAATCCTTCATGTAAATTGAATTTGTATTACCTAACAAAACATTTCATGAAGATGATTGGGAAACAATAACTTATATATTTAATCCTTCTCATGTTCGGAACTATGGAATATTGAACTGATTAAAACAACTTTTTTTCCCCCTTAAAACATGAAAGCTTGTCAATTTAACATTAGAGTAATTTTATCAAACATCCTGACACTTACAATTTGTGTATTTAATTTATTTATAGAATATTTTTTCGTTGTGACTACAATTTAGCTTTCAGAGCAGTTCACCTCACTGACCCTGCCTGGTATTGAGTGCCAACCTCACTGACCCTTCTCGGTATTGAGTCCCAGAACCTATCAAGCTCCACCAGATGTCTAGAACAATTTCATTAAGTCCTGCATTAGTTTTCCTCATATGTATTTCATTCATTTGGCAGGAGAGTAAAAGGCTTGTCTATCCATCCAATTAGTGATATATATATATGAGATAGAAATTGAATTTGGATGTGACTACCTACTGTATATCATGTATGGTCCTCACTGGTAGATTTAACCCTTTCACCACTGTAGACCACAATAGACTCTTCCAAATCAATGCCTAGTCAAGTTTACTTAAGTTACATAGGGGTAAAATGGTTAATAAAAAATATCCAATAGATAAATAGAGAGATTGACAGAAAAAAAGAAAAAAAGAAATACATTCAATTATAAAGCTCATCATACATCTTAAAGAGAAAAGGTTTTCATTATTTTTTAACTTGATACTTTTCATCTCATAAAATATTATATCAAGGCATAATTTACAGCTTTCTGAATTGAATATATTTCTTTTCATCTATAAAAATCAATTTCTGAAAAAATCATTATCTCTAAGGTATATAAATATTTTTCGTAAGTAATTATATCGAGGTCTCCACTAATCAATAGCTACGCGATATGTCTGTGAGAGAGATATACATAACGGGCATGAAACATTATCTGATTTTAACTTTTGCAACTTCACTGCCTTGCTTGAATTATGGCAGCAGTTGAAAACCGAGCAGAAAAATGGCAATCTATCATACATCAAAGACAACGCAGCTATCGCTGGGCGAAGAAGACAAATGATTTTCTCCGAAAAACTTTTTCTTATTTTCCTCTCTCTTTGAAGCAGGTGACTTTCTTCTGAGTAGTCGTATATAAACTTTCCCAGAGAACTGACAAAGCCAATCGACAGCAGCGAGTGCCATTTAATTCGCATATGAACTATCCTATTTCTTCTTTCACTGGCAGTTCTCTGGTAAGTTATTAGCCCTTTCCTTTGGCTGAATGTAAATTGCCTTTGACAATGTTTAAGTCGTTTGGCACTTAGGTTTTTCGGGGAGGGGTATGTTATTTCTTATTGAGCTCTTTTGTATATGTTTCCGAGGCATTTTGTTCTTATGCATTGTGCGTATATAATAAGTGATTTGCGGATAACTGACAATTTGAACGAACAGTTTCCTGTCGTCCAGTACAATACTCCGTAATGACCTTAATGGCCCAACTTTTTTTGCCCAGGAGCCGAAAGTTGGAGACATATGTCTGGCGATATGCTTGAGCGCCCCTTTCTACAACAACATACACTTGCCCAATCAGAGTGCACTGTACAGACCAGGCGGATCTTACCCTACCAGTACACACACACACACCAGCTCACATCTGATCCGACCAGCAGTGTATAGGCGTCACAGTGATTTTGTTTGCCACTCAATGACTGGGATATAAGATATGAAGGATACATGTCTGTAGCTCCCAGTATAAGTTTAATGGACCCTTGGCCAGGAGGTTAGTATGTATATGTATATCAAATTAGCTACTTATACACAGCAAAAAAAACGTGGATCTGGTTTTCTCCTCCTCGTGTGCAACCTATACAGGTGACACTCTATAATCACATTGTTCATTTCCGTCCATCATACTTCTTAAGGGCCACTCAGGTAAGAACTCGATCAGCTTTGATCTTTTAAATCTTAGGGTTCAACTGGTGTTGACACAACGTGGGATAATCGGCACAACAGTAGACCTACGTCTACAATATGACATAGAAAAACACTCCCGAGTACTAGCAGTCATGTAAACACAGTATGCCATATAAGTTAAAGGAGGTTTTTAACGCGACTATGGACTGTAATTGTCAAGAGTTTCTTAATAAATTAGTCCGTTCAACTTTGAACACCCTATACATGTGATTCATGGAGAAAACATTCCCCGCATTAGCTACTATCTCACTTATGTAGTTACGATCTGCCCTATTATAATTTTCAACAGGTAATCGGTTCGTATTTCCTGTGAAAACTAATATATAGTGACAGAAAAAAAATTACTGCCTGTACCGAATGGCCGACATAAATTATTCTTCAAGAGGCTAACAAAAGTCGAGTATAACATAACGGAATAGCAGAGAAAAGGAAAAGTGTGGATAATTTTCACCTGTCTCCGTTACATTGAGAATGACAGCCAAAGTGAGATGGCCGTGATTACATGATGGATGGACGTGGGCATTAGGCCCCGTGTGTTCGGCCGGCCGTTTGTTTTCTGGGTTAGGGTCGTGTAGGTGTGTTGGTTTAGTTAGGGAGACGTGGAGTACTTTCAACATTTTAGTCGAAATGATAACAGTCGCTCCTCCTAAAGGATCAGGAGGAGGACCAGGGGACTTATCGTTTGTGTTTATACAGGAATCACTTGAACAAACTAAGGTAAGGTCGCTAGTATATAACAACAGCTCTATGACGGGGTCCTACGCTAATTTGTTTACCAGTTTGGAACGTTTGCTTGTTTTTCTACATTCCGACAACATATTAACTTGTTATTATGCCATTAGGTTTAATGTGTTGAACTCACGCTGTAAAATAATTACATTATACTTCACTTAAGTTCATTATTTTCATTCAATAAAACTATTCAAAACAAAATTCTTGGTGTACTTACTCTTACCATGCTTTTCATTCACTAACTGTCAAACCAAAGGTTCCTTTTCAATTACGTTTAATCTGAAATAACATAGCTTACAGAGGCCAAATCATAACATATCAACAAAGTATTTAAACTTTCTACAAAACCTATAGAAATTTCTACTGTTATTCACAAAAAAAAAATTTGAATAGTATTTGGTCAGGACAAGTATAAAGATTTGACACTTTAATGAATATTTTAAGTCAACAATTTATAATTGTTGTTATTAACAAAGGAACATAAACATAAACACTCCCTATTACTAATTAAAAGAAGGGGGGGGGGGGGATTGACATCGGGAACCAAGTTAAATCTAATATCACAAAGGAAACATTTCTTAACGATACAGAGATAATTTTATCGACAACACTGTGTCTCCTTGTTTAGAATAATTGTTTAAAAGGTTAGCCGTACTTCAATTCCGTTTTTTGCATACTAAAAGGAAACTCCATCTAGTCTAATCAAGTATTTGTTTCACGGGACAAACACCCAACTCTGGCCATTCATCATATCAGCTACTGGAACGTTGACACACCAATTAATGGGGGGAAGTTCTAGTATGGGACCCTCCCGGCTGTGTGGCGGTACAGGGGGTGTCTGAGGACATGACACTACAGCTGCATGGCTCAATTACACACAGGACAGTATTAATTTGTTCAAGTGGCCTATCAGATCATCACCTCTCAGCCTCACATCGGCTAGATATATCATTCTGTCTTCCTGTCTTTATCCTCAGTTTAGATTGTCTTTTTGTTCCCTATAAGGTCCAGAACCCTTGAAACTCCATGCCTATTGCTCCTAGGTTTAGAGCCCCTTGATCTTCCTGTTTCTGTACCATCCTTTCAGAACCCTCGGACCTCCATGCCTATTCTTTCCGTTTCTGTACCTGTCTTTCAGAACCCTCGGAACTCCATGCCTATGGGTCCTAGGTTCAGAGCCCCATGATCTTCCTGTTGCTGTACCCTCCTTTCAGAACCCTCGGAACTCCAATCCTAAACCCCCAATAAAACCCAAAGGATCTGCCTGCCTCTGTTCTTATTGCAAAACCCAATGATCTCTGTGCCTGTGGACCCTCCATTCCGATCTTTAGGATCTCTGTGCCTGTGGACCCTCCATTCTGATCTTTAGGATCTCTGCCTGTGGACCCTCCATTCCGATCTTTAGGACCTCTGTGCCTGTGGACCCTCCATTCCGATCTTTCGGATCTCTGTGCCTGTGGACCCTCTATTCCGATCTTTAGGATCTCCCTGCTGCTGGGTTCATTTCTCCAAGCATCTTGATATTCATATCTTTCCGTACACTAGTTTTGGAGGCCTTGGAACCCCTAGTCATCTCTTAATCGCTAGGTTCAGATTCTTGGTATCTGCCTCCTGTTCCAACCCATTCAAGTCCCTCTGGGTGTCAGTTCACAGCCTAGGCAGACTGTGTTACACCGTTATTACAGAAACAACCCTCACAGGGAACTGAAGATCTTTCCGGGGTGATAAAAATATCAACTCGAAATGTCTTTTTTAACATTTTGAATTCTTGTAGCATGTCAATCACTGTAACTAATTTTTTTGACTCGTTGTGTCTCCAAGTCGTTGCCCTTCATCTGTTTTTCAATCTCCTGGCTCCCTCGGATAATGGGGCTTTTCCTGTTGGCCTCCTCAGTGTGGTGTTTGATGATCCGGCTGTTCTGGGGCATAGGTAATCATCTGGAGCACCGCTAATCAAGTGTAATAGCACGATCATACCATGAAATATGTCTGCCTGCCTGCCTGCCTGCTCCTGTGCTGCCTCGGGAGTAGCAGGGAGTAGCAGAGCTTGTCAGTCTGTATAAATACTCTTGTGAAGTATTGGTTTGTTCTGCATGTTGGTATATGCATTTACACTCAAAACAGTACAGGTCTCCATAGAAATTTAATGTGAGGGACTATAAATATTTATTCTAAAGATACACAGCACCAATCATTTCCCATTTATCAAGAATATAAAAAAAGGTTGACAAAGGGAAAAACATATTTTAAATGTAGCACTGATTATTACCCCAATCATGGATATAAAAAGTGAAGAAAAAGAACGAAAAAAACCTCCTGATATATTTGTCAGCTCCATCAAGGTCATAAACATAATTTGAAAAAAAAATCATCTAAATAATCCTTGTTCGTTAATAATACTACATCAGTACAACCCATTAGCAAATAAAGACAAGTTGGTAGGTCTGACTGTTGGATGCGGGTTTGGCCAGGTGAAAGTCTCGAGCCTCCGTAAAAATGCTATAAAAGAGTTTGACATTAAAAAGGTAAACCGTTATTTTGACTAATATTATTGACTTTCATAAATCAAGTGTAACAAGAGTCTGTGTGTTACAGTCATCATATTACACTGTACAGCGACAATTACCCGGTACACACGACAAAGTACCCCGGGTAACGCAGATACAATCTCCAAGGAAACCCACCGATATCATTTCAGTGAATCAGGGGCATTAAATCAATAAGTGTAAGGAAAGAGAAACCGGATCAATGGAGTGATCAGGTCTAGTATGTGGTTAAAATAAACTACCAGGCTGATAAGAGTCGAGAGTTAGCCACTAAAAATCTTTACGACAGTATAACAGGGCTACACAGACACATCAACGTTTACTTTTATTTGCAATGGAGTAACATTAAACAAACAGCGCGGTGCAGTGGTAACGTATATAGACCTCAGCGATCCCAAAATCCAAACAGTTGGCTTAGTTTGAACAGATTCATCTCAATCAAGGTAAGATGTCTTACCCATCTCGTAATCATTGTCTTACAGCATAAAGGAATGCAGTGAGCGTTACAGGGACTTTCTGAGGGTTTCTGGCAACCCTTTTAACTCTTATCATTCAGTACTCATTCACCCTAAAGACACATTTGAACCCTTCCAATTCAAAGGTTGGAATAGTTCATTATGCAATTTCAAGGGTAAACGGGTTAAAACCTGAAGTTTCTGGTGCCCTATCACATACCCACTTTTCCTCCAAATCTGTTGGAAATTATTTTACCCACTTCCTTCCTAAGTCTGTTATTTCTTGTTAAAAAAACATTGAGTTCACTTCTGTTTCTATCCAAACCTGTAATTCTTGTTTAGAAAGTGTTTTTGATTCCCACTTTCGTCCTAAGTATCTCACTTCTGGTTTAAATTAAAACCATGTACGTTGCATTTTTATTTCAAAGAACATCTGATCAAGTGTCTTGAACTTGAAACGTAAAATCAATGCACAGAAAAAGATTTTTAAATAAATTCTCTCTATGAAAACTTTGAAACATTAATTTTTCAAGACAATTTTTTCAACTGTCTGAATAAACCGATCAGGCGATTGGTATTTGAAATGCATTTAAAATTGAGTTATAACCAAGACTGAAAGAATTTTTTGAAGGATTTTTTTTGAAAGAAATTGTTTTCATAACTTTATTTAATATTTATGATATGGCTGGAAGGCCTATAGAAATCAATAATAGGTTTGGTGCCCACATATCTGGGTGATTATGAGGTATACTATTTATATTTGTCATCAATCAATCGTGACAAAGGCCATGATTTGCTAAGGTACATATATCAATCATAATTATGTCTATCTATTATGGAGGACCTTCCATGTAGGCCCGATGTCCTGGGAGGACAAATGGCCGATCAAGCCTATCATAACTAATCATACACCTCTCACTGGTCAATCGTCCAGGCCGTCCTGTCTACACGCTGTCAATCACACTGGACATGCCACCATGCTCGTGTCCACTAGCAAACAAATAGCCGTAGGGCGGCTATTTGTAGCGACACCTTCTCCCAACACCTCTGCCGCCAGTCCGCAGACATCTGTGCTGTGACCCTACGAGGTGACTGGACATTAGTGACCACTGAGTGGACATTGTGTCCACAAGTCATCCTTACTGTCAGATTTTTCTCTTTTCGTCTTCCATCACTTGAGGCAGTGTTGTTTTGGTTTATGTGTCTAGGAGGTCTTGCCATTTCCCTGTTTGGTCATTATCTGTCTCATCTACATTCTCAATGGCTCTCTGGACAGAAATATTGGTCTGGTCACTTCCAACCAATCAAGCTGTATGTGTGGTCAAGACTATAAATATCTCAATATAGATAGAGACATATATGAGTCTCTGATCAAGGTCACTCACAGATGTACTTTTACCAGACATAAACTATCAATGGAAACTATATTTCTTGTTCATTTCTCAATCTCGTTTGATCAAGTTTCAAATAATTACGCAGAAGAAGTTCAGACAATTGACATAACACATGATTACAACAGACAAAATTATATTTCAAGTGATTTCTTTTCATCTTTAAAGTTCAATCTCATATATATTTCTTTTCTCTCTATCGCTATATTTTCTCTATAATGCTTCATTGAATGGATTATTCTTCGAAAGTTTCATTGAAATATTTTTCTCTAATATATTATTTTATTCTCAACCAGGAAATTACGTTTTTTAATCAGCATTTTGCATAAATTTTCATAACTGTATTAAATGAAGGCAAATGAGAAGCCAAGTGTGTGTATAATTTAAACGAATTTTGAATAATACCATTGGGATTACATTGTCTGCCTGCTGACCTTCGCAAAGGTTTATAGGGACCATTAATACAGCTTTCTGGGCCCTTTTAAGGACACCAAATATGGCACGCAAGTCCCAAGACGGCCACTTTTACAGGCCAAACAAGCTCATCAATGCACCAGATCGAAATATGCATTATAATTTCGTAATCATTACAGTCATTCTGAATTCTCCATGTTTTCGAAGTTTATCACAGCGAATTCCGGCATATTGGTGCTCCGATGAATGGTATTAGAGCGTTGTGACAGAGTTCTGCGGGACTACGGGACCGACCCCTGACTCAGACCAAGCAAAAACACTAATTTCTGGCAGCTGCACTGATAAATGTCCCAAAACCTAGCAATTTCCTTATTTTTTTCCCCAGCCAGCACTTAAATTTGCCCACAGTCCCGAAAAAGATTATGAAAAGAATTGTGCTGAATACACTTGTCCCTCCTATAGCAGACACCCAGACTGCTAAAATGTGTACAACCCGATAAAGACACAACGGAAACAGTCACACAAAAAACCCAACCATATCTGCCGAAGGTGCACGAATCATTGTTTAACACATCATGTATCAAACCAAATCTGATCGATTTCACCGGCATGATTGACACACAGAATAACCCGAATCGGTGATAGGCCCAGTGAAGGGAAACACAAACTTCCTAATCTAGTGGGCAATGCAAATCAATCGTCCAGCAAACGTTTGCATTAAACCAGATTAAACTTGTCAGACAAATAGTCTATGCTGATTAAACGCCCGGGGCAGTTTAAATATGGGTTATAATCGTATGTATACATGGACAGGCTTGTAGTGTAGAGAGGGAGAGAGGTGTAGATCGGAGGCAGCGCTCCAAGGTATGTAGTTTTATACACCTAACTTACCTACACTGATATATATATTTCTAGAGGTCCTTGACTTCAATTGACTGTATACAAGTTGAAGTATTCTTCAAGTGCTCTTGTTATTATGCCAATCGTATCTTTATACTTGGTTTTATTTTCAGATTCTATTTTAACTACGTGACTGTTACAATACCGTAATGACGGAGTGTAATTGTATTACATCCCTTCCTATATACAACCGCTGTGAAGTTATTGTTTCTAATTTTACGACTCTACAGCTTATAAATATTTTCTCTAGTCGCTGTTGAGAAGCTTTCAGACAACATATGGCTTCTAAAACAAGCTAATAACGTAACATAATAAAAATTCCTACGATACGAAATGATGGTAATAAGCAATTTGCATTTAAAATTTATGCTGTAAATATTCTACATGATAAAATATAAGTTCAAGAAGGATGGTAATCAGTAGATACTATATGTATATGTATTAGCAGTGAGTATTTGCATGTTTTGATAAGAGGAACACCCAAGCTGTGTAAAAACTGGTCAAAATAACACCGTGATACGAAAATATTAGTGCCAGTTGGTACAATAACAATTACCTAATTTGTTTTATCTGAAGTGGAAAGGGAAACGGCCATATAACATATAACTTAATCATACTTCTGTTTACAATCACATCTCAATAATTCATACCCTATCCTTACAGACAGACAGACAGACGTCCAGGTCACACAAACCTAACAGCTAATTCACTATTGATCAAAAGCCTATCTCGTTACCTGAGAGTTCAGGTGTGTTAACGAGATAATTAACTTCATGCTAATTACCGCTATATCTATGACCACCTCTTATCCAATCAGTATTTTCATCCATCAGTATTAATGCGATTAGCTGTCCTCCCCGCCCTCATGTCAAATGTCACAATCCATTCCGCCACCACCACCACCTCTCGCTGCGCTTGTGTACAGGATCGGAGAATTATAATTTCAAATACCCATTGCACAAAGCTATGCATTTCATCCGTAATTGGTTGTAACTCGGGTAGTTTGGAGAAATTGCTGCCTTTGTGAGGAACTAAAGTGCATGTAACATCCTCCAGGGAGGGGGGGGGGGGATTTTGAGTGTTATAGGAGAAAGGGGGAGGGGGAACTGAACCGGGAGGGCGTATGTGTATTCAGGCCACATCACTGTAAATGCATTCACCGACCCGCGCAGTTAGAACGAGATAGTATTTTGCATGAATTATTGATTGGGGAGTTTTAATTAGCTTATATGTTGGCTTGATCACCTGACTGAAGAGCGGCAGGCGAGCGATATAAAAGGCCAACACTGTAGTGATTGCTGGCACTCAGGGGCTGCCTGTATTCGACCCCCTCATCACACAGCTCTCTCCGAGTCTCACTCCAACACTAGGTTGATGCTGATCATCACCAGGTGCTATTTCCCACCTTTTGTATCAGAGAATGTTTCTTCGGGACAATTTGATGGTGTGGTTTACACATAATCACCACCTAGATGACACTTATGTACAGTGAAAAAAATGGTTTCATAACTTTTTTCTAAAGGAGAAATTAAAGTGAAATTTGCTCGGGCTGCTGAGCGAGTAAAATGTGTGACTGTGTTTGTGACAAGCTTGAGTTACGAATGGTAATCTTTATACTTTCAAACGCACGCCGACATCATAAAATCTCTCTGTCTACCTGGTTTTGCCTGACACACCAAAACTGTTAAACGTTGACGCATAATCAATTTGGAGGAACTTAAATGCCATATATATGCTTTTATCAATAGATTTGTATTCAATTAGAGCTTATTTTTATCTTTTCAGATTTGCTTGAGGGATGACTGGTGTACAACAACAGTGAGGGATACACACCATCTGCAAGACGTGTCACATCTACTACACAGACAAGACGAGGGGCTGTGCCATACATGAACTGTTTCGCAGGCTTGTGGTAAAATGCAGTTGTTGGAGAATGAAAAGGTTCAGTCCAAGCGGTCAACACTATCCTGACCCGTCCAAGCCCCCAGAAAACGGGACCGAGGAAATCAGTGCGGACAACATCAATGATGGAAGTAAGAAAGTGAAAACATCACAGTCTTTTGAATCGCTTTTTGACAACGAGACTTTGAGTGACGTCGTTCTCAACGTTAACGATGGCCAATTTGTGTTCAATGGACATAAGATGATCTTGGGAATGAAAAGTGACACATTGGCTGCTTTACTAAATGAAATAAGTGGTTTGGATTCTGATGAAAAGCCGGTGTTGTGCCTGCACGAGTCTATCGAGTGCAGCCTCGTGTTCAGTCGATTTCTCTACTTTATATACAGTGGTGCGGTTTGGCTTCATCGGGACTACGTGCTCCCACTTCACAAGCTGGCGGCGAAATACTCTGTCAAGTCTCTTGTACATCATTGTCAAAGTTATGTAACACAAATATTACACAATATGATGGGAGTTTACGAAAATATTCGTGGATTCCAAGTTGAGGTGGTCTGTGATTTATACGAGTGTAACTTATTCCCGGAGGACATTCGGAGTTTATCATTCAAAGTCTTGTGTGCCAAATTCAAGGAGCTTGTGCAAAGCGACAGGTGGCAAGCATGTAGCTGGCAGCTTGTTTGTGACCTAATCCGGTCGGACGATTGTATGGCCGAGGAGAACCTGATTCTCACCTCCGCCACAGACTGGATGAAGAAAAACAATCTGAGTGACAAGACACTTATTGAGGATATACTCGTTAACATAAGGTACCCATTTCTTCACCGACGCATCTTATACCAACTCAAAAAGAATGGGGCATTCAGAAACTTTCCCCAAGTGCAAGTGTTGGTGAATAATGCAGTACACTATCACTGTTTCAAGGACCTGTCGGAAGCAAAGGACGAGTTTACAGGATTGCAGTATACGCCACGCCATTATCAAACCCGTTCATTTACCCCCAGTGTTCTGTCTAGTCGCGCTCAGTCAACAGACCAGATTGCCAACCTTCATCACCTTCATTCAAATATGATGGCCGGCACCGTGCCGTCCAGTAATCTCTCGCACTCCAACATGGAGCAAAACATTCTGAACCACAGTGTTCTTGTTCAGAGCCTTAACCAACCGGTGAGCTTCGTTCAAAATCTGACTCCTTCGCAACTCGTTCAAAGCGTTCGGCCCAATGTGATTCGTAATACTGAACCAGTGACAGTGTCAATGATTCCGGGCGTGATTCCGTCCTCCGTCATTCTGAACGGTAACCCCATGTCTCAAGGTAACGGCGACTCACGAACCTCTACCGCGGCAAGTGCTCATCAGCCGGTGACACCGACGATGCCACCCGCTATGAATCTAGTGCAAAACATTGTGTCAAACAGCACGTTTGGGAACCCTGGCTCAAAGACAGGAGAGGTTCACCACGTGGGATACAGGTGATGACAATCGGAGTGTGTTTTATTTGTTTATCCTTAAATCACCTTTGCTGAATTTCGGACGGAATTTCAGAGCTGAATACTCACTGAAAATCACCGGAAAAACTAGCACCAAAATCATATGTATTTTTCAAAGGATTTAATTTTGTGAACCATTTGTTTAAAAGTGCTTTTCTTGAAGAAACATTAAGCTTTCAATCGTCATCGACATCAATGTGCATTATGAATGAAGGATTTATTTACTTGCAATGACCAGCAATCAGGCACGTTAAATATTTAAGTTTTTACATTCAAGGATTACTAGCAAAAAAAGTGCATTTATTGAAGGATTTATTTACCTTTAAGGAAATTATGAATTGGCAGACGACCTCTGTTGGAATTATAATTAGAATCAAGATATGACTTTCTGATGCAGACAATGTGACAGAATATGGTAATTCCGGAGAACTATCAGATCCAACTTGAGCAGGCATGATAATTGCTATGTTTTTCTATTTGAACTTTTGTCTCTAATGCAATTTGTTAAATTATGAATTTTTTTTTGTGGTTTCAAAAAAATCTCACAATCAATAACAATGACTGTTTTTTCAATCTCGGCAGAGATTGGGGAGTCAACCCGGGAAGGATTCTGTCAGACCCGTGTAATGACATATCTGAAGCAGAAGGAAATATGGCCCCAGTCGGACATAGGGGGCTTTCATTAATACATGCATGTGTTCTTAGGCAGTGTGAGTGGCTATGTCACATTTATAAATAATGAAATATCACTCCGCCTGCTTTATATTTGACGACAATGACAAATTACAATAAACTATTTAAATAAATTCAAATTGTCTATATTTGTATCATTCCTGTATGATAATAACTTGATCTTTTTAGAAAGATCAAAATGGCTGTTACAGTTCTGCTTGAATTTTATAATTATAGCTAAACTGGCTTTATGTTTTAACCGTGTTTAGTTATGTGGTGTCACAAGACTAAATTGATAAAAAAAAACATTTTTACTGATTATATCCGGCACGTAGCAAATAAAGAGATCCAAAGTCGAAGACAAACGTTTACAAAACATTCCGGTGCCAAATGGATTAATATCTTCAGCTAATTGTTTGGGGGTAAAAAGGCCATTTCTTAAATGAATTAATATTATACAGTCATGTTAAAGGTATTTAATGTTTCTTTTTTTTCTTATGCAAAATTACTGATTAAACTTTATAGGAAAATAATGGACATTTTCAATGAAATTAATGAACTTTTATATCGGTGAATCTGAAATGCTATAAAATTTGCGTTACAGCCAAATATTTGATTTCTCGGAAGAAAAAAAGGTAATTCCGTCAAAGGCCCAGCAGTTATCAATAATACATTTAATAGTGTGTGTTGGCACCAAATAAAGCTAGAAGCCGACAACGTATTATCCTTCATAGCTCCGACGACGTATTATCCTTCATAGCTCCGACCTCCAATCTGATTGTAGGAACAACATTTAATTTTTAATGGCTTAATTTAATCTAGTCGTTAAACTGACTGGAAACTTTGAAATCTTTCATGTCCAAAGGGAAAATGTACAAGACAAAATTTAGCTATCTACTTTAAATGAATCTTCCAACGATAAGGGGAACCTGCCTGAGAAAATCCCAGCCTCGGTAGAAGAATGTCAGACTTAAAAAGAAAGGGATTCTTTTGACATTTTGACTCTAGTATAAGCTAAACATGTTACGTTCCCTTTGATTGTGTGAGTATATAATCATCAGATAATTGACAACATCTTCAGTAAAATTAAACTCAGAGCGGGAAGTTGGAGAGGCAGCCAGCCATCAGTGCTAGCCCTCACGAAATCCGGTATGCCACTCAGGCTAAAATTATTTTCGCAGCGATACACGTAAATAATTTCGTAATTTTTAAACTGTGAAATCTTATCATTCAAGTGTGAAAATTTTAAGATTATGCTTTGGAATCACAGATTCCAAATACCGATGAGAATTAAAAACGTCTTCACACAATTAGAAGAAATATTTGGCACTCTTCCCTCCAATATTGTTCATTGGGGAATACAGTTCACTGATCAAAAGGAATATTTGAAATGACCAAACACTGATGAACGTAAATTAGAGAAATATCTGAGATAAGAAATATCATTAAGTAATTACAGGAATTATCTAATTTTGAGAAATTCACGCTTTTCCAGATATAGATATACACTGGTATGTGACCTTGTACCAGATCGTACAAATTTCACAGACCAGATCCGTACTGAATATATAATAAGGCCATCAAACACATTCCAATAATGTCTTATAGCAATCAGTTGCATCATATATTAAGCAAAATTTTCAAAAAGTTATTTTTTTTGTAAAATGTTGAATATATATTTCTATTTGTGTTAATCATTTGAAGTTGACTTTTTTGAATCCCATGACATTCAAATTTTTAAATTATGAAGAAATCTTCCATATATTTTTTATCTCAATAAGCCTTTCAACTGATGAACCTTAATAAACAAGGGCCTTTCTGTGTAAAACCTACATTTTCAATTTGAACCTGTCTATACTGAAACTTGAGTAATCAAGAACATGTATAAATCATACTTCTAGTATTGACCTGTCTAGTCAGAATCTTGCATAATCCAGAAACTTTCGTAAAGCATACTTCAGCATTAACCGATCGTTATACAGACATCTGTGTAATCCAGATTCTTGTGTAAAACATACTAACTGTATTCACCTGTCTAAACAGAACACTGAGTAATCCAGTGTCATGCAAAAAACATAATTGTTCTTTCACCCTGTCTATAGAGAACCCTAAACTTTCAGTATTTACCTGTCTATAAGAAACTCAGAATAATACAGAATCTTACTTAAAACATATTTTCATCTCTAATCTGAACAAGTTTAACCAAAATATTCCAGAATCAAGAGTAATTTAGTGTCCTGGCAGTGAGTTTTTAACATGATCAGAACCTAGACTGTCACTTACATTAACGAGCATATGTTGAGTTCAAAGTTAAGAAACCAAAAAAAAATCCTTTCTAATTACTCGGGACTTATCTAATGCAGTCATTTGAAAGGTAGACAAAAAATCAATGCATTGATAATTTTCAGGTAATTCTGAATGATTACACGTTAATCAAATGTTTGTACAAGAGATACTTCTAATACAAATCACAATAATAAAGTGTAAGGTAGCATACACCCTTAAGTGAATAATGCTGAAGTTAAGTGCTGGCCTGCAAAAAGAATTTTTATAAAATCAGGCGCAAATATATTCTGTATAACCAATTGAGAAAATTCAACTGAGGATCGCAAATTGATGTTTAGACAATTTTGTTTGCTAAAACACATGAATTAATCTTGTTTGCACATTATTGACACGCACGAAAAACAGGTGGTTTGTTCAGGGTTTGATGGTACTCTACGTACGTAAGGCACAGTGGAAGCGACCAAGATTTCATCTATAACCCTCGCGTGCAACATGAGCGCGCCACGACGAGCCCAATACACAGGCAGAGTGCATGTGCATCTCCTGTTGTGAGTTTACCTCGCTCCATTTAATTACATCCTTGATGCGCACCAACTACATACACAGCAGTGGCCTCTAATTATATTATAGTCAAGTACAGCAAAAACTCAATTTAATTTGGACAAACTTTTGGTAGACAAATGAGAAGTTAATCTCCCGTCAGACATCTTCTACCTCGCCTTCCACATAGCGGGACCAGAGGTTCAATCTAATAACCATTAGGTTATCATCTATATTCACTAAAGCCTCAAGATTCTGGGCATACAGCCACAGCTAAATCCCGTTTGTATTTATTTTCCTTTCACAGGAAAATTAAGTTTAATGCTTTTTAGATCATCCAATTTTATCAATAAGGTATTTTGAGCTGTCTTGGCATGGTGGGTAAGTTTCTGGCCCAGCCTCTCGTAGAGGGGGGCCGTGTTCCCCAGGACGTAAACGACTTGTTAGGGATAAGTTAGGGATGGAGTCCTTCGAGAATGAGGCTAATTCTTCGGCACATGGGATACGTCAGGGCGGATAGGTAAACCACATGTAACAGTTGGATGAAGGTCCGACAAGTGATCAACTCTAATAAACGCAACACTTCATATCTATTAGAGCGAGGCATGTTGCAGACCTATAGACAAAACCCCATACATCTCAATTGTTGGGTAATAATAGTGTACCAGCACTGTCTCCTAATAACAGTACTGGGTCACAGCTATACTAATTCTGACAAATGGCGGCTATACTATATATAACACTCTTGGCTGATTATATCTTAATTGAAAGAGGCCCACAAACTGTGACTGCTTTTTACCGGAAAATACTTCCTATTTTTGTCTACTTTTTACAGGTTGAAAATCCCACCACTATTCTAATGTATACATGCATTGGAAAGTTATTTTCCAGATAAATTATTTCATTTATATATGAAAATAAAAGTAGGTTGCAGGCTTTTTAAGGAGGTTAGAACAGTTTGAAATTCTGGGTATAACTAGTAATAACTCCAAGTAAGGCTGAAATAAGATTGAAATTACTCCCAGTAAAAATGCAGAAACGTATAATAATTATCATGATATGTAGTGGATAAACTCCCTGTATTATAACCAAAGAGGCCTGGGGATCAAATTCTCGAGCCAGCAACAGTTCTGTGATAAAAGATAATTATAGCAAATTTTTGACTAAGCAGAAGAGGATCATATATTAACTGACTAGAAGGTGCTTACAATTTTGACTGACTACAAGAGGTAAACAAATTTTGAGGCAACGTTTCCTAACTAGAAGAGGCAAAAAAAGGAGGGCAACACATTTTGACTAACTAAAAGAGAAGAGACAAACAAATTTGACTAATAGAGGAGGCTTACAAATGTGACTAATAGAGGAGGCTTACAAATTTGACTAATAGAGGAGGCTTACAAATTTGACTAATAGAGGAGGCATACAAATTTGACTAATAGAGGAGGCATACAAATGTGACTAATAGAGGAGGCTTACAAATTTGACTAATAGGGGAGGCATACAAATTTGACTAATAGAGGAGGCATACAAATTTATACAAATTTGACTAATAGAGGAGGCATACAAATTTGACTAATAGAGGAGGCTTACAAATTTTGACTACATCATTGACAACTTTGACCTTTGACATTTGACATCAAGGTAGATCTGAAGCATTTAGGTGAGCTACACCCTCCAAGTTCCCAAGTTCTAAAATATTAACTGTCAAATATTGCACAAGTTTTGTTAATTTATTCTTTTGTTTTCCGTATTTTTTTCTCCAAAAATAAAGCTCATTGATCGACAGACAGACGAGGAAATGTTCTATTGATTGATCACGGTAGGAACACAATAGATTTAACAACAGAAACAAACCATCAATACGTCTGTTTTTGGTTTTTTTTGAACAATACATTCATTTATATTGAGAAATGTTTTTGTGTATGTGTGTATGTTTTAGTATATGTCTACAACAAATGAGGCCAAATCGCAGAATCGATGCATAAGTATATAAAGACATATATTATGACAAGCAGATCCCGTACGTTGTTGCTCAACTCTGCAAATTCATTCAAATTCAATTAAGAGATTTCTTGAGAAAAATCAATTAACAACTTTATAAACAAAATGGCTTTTGAAGATATTATCGATTACGGAGACGACAGATGGACGCCACAGTAAAAGCTGTGTCAAAATCCTTTCACGGCATAGGAATGACAAAAATAAAAACCTACCCGTACAATCAGAAATTGAAATTTTATGTAAAGTAGTTGAGATTTCATCAAAGTGTACGAGTGCGAAAGCCTAGTAAGTGGCGTCTTTGTAGGGC